CCCCCCGCCGCACGAGTCCCGCCGGTGCCCCCCCTCCCCTCCTACCCCGTCATACCGGCTCATACAGATCAATACGAACAGTCGTGCAACCCTATGTACGAGTGCTCCCCCGTACAGCGGGAGTCACAGGCCAAACAGTTTCATCGGACTTTCAATGACTCAGCAGGAGAGAGAGAGAGAGAGAGAGAGAGAGAGAGAGAGAGAGAGAGAGAGAGAGAGAGAGAGAGAGAGAGAGAGACCTGTAGATAGGCCATTGGCACCCCCGAGTAGCATTGTCGTGCTTGCCAGACTGTTTCATCGGACTTTCAATGACTCATCAGGTGGTTGAGAGAGAGAGAGAGAGAGAGAGAGAGAGAGAGAGAGTTTTGAAGAGTGGCGGGCAGGAGGATCTGACAGATGGTGATGTGGCAAAGAAGAAGAACTTGGAGGAATTGAGAGGGAGGAGGAGTTGCAAATTCGGAAGCTTACCGGGGAAAACGCAAAAATGACCAGGGGCGGTAGAGGTAAAACGATAATACATGGGGCATGGGAAAAGTCTGAGGGGTATTCCGCTCTACCCACATCTTTTAGAGGCATTTTGGCATATATTTGAGCTTATAAGGGTATTTCGTAAATTATCCCTAAAATAAAATGTTGCATAATGGCGACTATTGCAACTACCTGTATCCCTAAAATAAAATGTTGCCTGATGGCATTGTGGGGGGGGAAGGGGAGGAGGAATGGTAGGCCCTTATGTAAGGTATCGGTACCCTATGAAGAAATATACTTTGAATTTTGAGTCAAAAAGAAAAGCACGGACACCCTGTTGCACACCTCAAGTATGTTTTTATTCGTAATAGTGTTCCGTTGTGTCTATTGAGGTCTTGAACCAAAAACCTGAATGAAACCAAGTTGTGACAATTGGCTTCTTTCAAAGATTTGAATAAGACAAGTTGTTTCACTAATAAATTTTTATTGTGTTCGTTCGGACCTTGAGCCCGCAACTTTAATATGCAGATTGGTTGGAGCTTTTACAGGTTTAATCCATGGACTCAGGATTGTGTGATACTAGAATATTGGTAGATGGTTCACACTTCGCTCAGGGATTTGCGATTGACTCCGTGGTGGGGTCTCTGTTACATCCTATTGCCATTTTTTTTATAATATAAGTTTGTTTCTTAAAGATCGTATGATGAAGAGTTGCGATTGTGAATTTTTAGTGAAACTTAGTGGGACATTCCAAAATTATCTATAACACAAGATAATATGTTCTATATTAGGTTCCAAAGCTCTTAAAAAGTTGTTGGTGGCAATCAATCAAAATCAGTTCAGCACGCCGATTGGACCTTGTGTCCATGTCTGATGATTTACTTCATGAGTTATTTTAGCGGGAGTCACGTTTATAATTTTTTTATCGATTTTATGTTGTTGTTGTTGTTGTTGTTGTTGTTTTCCTTCTTCGTTTTCTTCTTTTCCTTATTTTCTTCCTTTTTCCTCCCTTGTCACCTATTACAGAATATCTGCATCAGCAAAATCACACTCCATTTCTCAAAGTAACCACCATAAAGGTTAGACTTCATTTGAATGGCTTCATACACACTTATGCTGACAACGTTCATTGATTGTCTTGTTTTTCTTCTTCACATCTTTTTTTGTTCCCGTGCACTTTCCTCGCTCCTATTAGTGAGGTATGGGCAATAACGGGGTGTTGACTATTATTCGTACTTGCTTTGTTTATGGCGAGCCTGACCAATTTGCGAGATGGTGTCCGAAAAACATGCATGTTCTGTAAAATGTCATCATTGTGATTGTTCATGCCCAACTTGAAGCTCCACTCCTCAACCTACTTCACAACCGGTGTGTCGAACAGTACAATTGCTATAGCCCCTTATGAAATAGGTGGTGGGTGGTTGGGGGAATGTCACACGATGATTTGATATTATTGAAGGCAATGTGCTTAAGATGATGGTGATATTCGACGATGAAAAAAAACGGAATAGGGTTAGACATAGGAGGAGGAGAAGGCAAAGCGCGAGCAAGAGGAGGAGCAAGGACAAGCTAGAGAGAAGAAAAAGTGTGAAGATGTTCAAGTGCAACTGGCAGAGGCTATGGATAGGAAGTTGAATGTGGTTTGTGAGGTGCTGATGGGGAAAAAAAAAAAAAGGGAATGATGAAATGAAAAAGTTGAGGGCGAAAGTCGAGGAACTTCGTCCCGGTAAAACTTCGATATTAGAATCGTCAAATAATATAGTCTATGATTTTAATGTGCTGGATAAGTTTCACTAAGAGCACGAGAAAATGAATTTCATATGCTTGGTTTGGTTGCTTCTACGTAAAAAAGGATTGCATCATCGGAGAACAACGTCATAAAAAAATGACACTGGGGAGAGGAAATTGTCACGAAGGTCGACTCATGAAGAAAAGAAGTCTGGCACTCTGTTAATAAGCGAGAGAGTGTCATTATACTTACTACTCCTACAATTCTAGCAAGGGTTGAACCTTGAGTAATGTTGTAGAGATCACTCCCGAGATTGATAGCGACAGAGTACTAAAATTTGATGCAATGTCATTTGGAAACGTAGAGCTTTTGAAGAAGATCCGATTGAAACAATTGAACAGAAAACGAAAGTGCGAGTGAAAAGTTTATTGAGTTAAAAATATGTTCGCACAGTTGGTGATGGAGGAGTAACACTTACCATGTACTAATCTACATTCAACGTTGGATGTAATGGGGGAGCCCTCTGCAGGAAGACTGACACTGTCTTGAGAAATAGGTTGTTTAGGCTAATAATAGGGAAACGATTCAAAATGAGCGTTGGAAAGCACTAAGACAAATTAAAAATGAGGATATCCTTGAGTATTTGCAAAACAAGGCACCGCATATTCTACCTAGGATATGACAAAAAAAAAGATGGTCAATTAGCATACGGCGAAGGTTTTCGAACATGATGAGAAAGGTAAGTTGAAAACAAATCAATCGAGGTGTCTGACGACATCAATGAGGTTGAACACGAGGAGGACGAACATGATTCGGACTTATCTTAGTATATTTCCCTCAACTTGTTTAGGCTAATGACCACAAAACATGTATGAAGGAGTATTTGAAAAACATTGAAATAGATAAAAAATATATATATCCTCGAGTCTGTGCAAAGCAATGCATCACGTATTCTTCACAAGATACAAAAAGGAAGGAGATAGTCAATCAGAGTGTGGTAAGGTTTGTTGGACATGATAATGAGAAAGGTAAGTTGAGAAACGAGTCTATCGAGTTGTCTGACGACGTGTGTGAGGTTAAATATAAGGAGAACATACGTGATTCTGACTCATCTAAGTGTCTTTCCTAGACGCGTCTCGTCTCTAACATTTTGAAAGACAGTATTGAAAGATCCGTTTTATTTTCTATGACTTTTTCCATTGTAAGGTTATGAATACCTTTTTTTTTGTTAATATCTCCTTCATTCTATCCAGTAAGTTTTTTTGGGCTACTAAGTTAAGTACCTTCATTACTAGCGCTCTGGTGGGACGTGATTTAGGATATATTGGCGATGATTGTCGTTGGATGTATGTGTTGGTGTTACCTTGGTGTCGTCATATTTATGTAGGGAATACTATAAGAA